ACACACACACACACACACACACACACACACACACACACACACACACACACAACATCAACAACAACAACCTCTTTCATAACACACACAAACATGCACACACACGAGACACGCATATGCACACACATGTGCACATCCATGTACACGTAAACTCTACCCTCACACACCCTCTCTTCCACACACATCTGTGCACATAACTATAATAATAGTACAACAGTATGCTTGTACTCTCAAACAGACTCACAGTCACATGCATAATATAAATGAACATTAATAGTGTGAAGTAGATACGTACTCAGTACTCTGATTGTAACTCAATGGTATTTTGAAGCATGTTTTACTTTAAAGGTCATAGGAATACTTAAAAACAAGAATATGGCCAATATTCTGATATTTAACAACGGCCTGTATGGGAGAGAGACCGTTGGATTATCTTAAATGTTGGTGTTTTATGTCCTTATCGACACAATTTAGATCATTTTGGTGACAGTATCCAACCTTGCGTGTTTGAGCTGAGGGGGATACAACATCCCAACAGAGAAACTGGGGCACTCGATAACATTTTCCAGGGTTTCTCCTTATCCAGTGCTTCCCAACCGAGGCGATATCTCCCAATTTTGGTGGTAAATTAGGTTTAGTTTAAGTGGAGGTTTTAAGGCGCTCGCAACTGCATAAGGTCATTTTAGGGCCAAGAGGTGGAGGTCAACAGAGAAGTCCTTACAGGGATTGCAGGCTCACTCTGCTCACCTCTCAAGTTTCAACAGCGCAAAGTCTGCTTTGACTACCAAGGCACCCCGGAAATAGCGGGTCTCAAGAATGTGACAAACATACAAAAGAAGTAGAGAAAAAAATGACAGTAAGGAATAGGAAGAGAATGATGAGTCAGCCCGTTTATATTATTCGGGAGGACATCCGTAACAAGCGACCACTATGAAACATAGTAGAATAGAGGGTAAGGGTTAAGTGGGACCGCAGGGGTATGGGTAGGGGTAGGGGTTGGATCTGGATTAGGGTTAGATCTATGGTTTAGTAGTAGTAGTATAAGGTTTTACGGCGCTCGCAACTGCTAAGGTCATATGAGCGCGCGAAACACAAGTTGTTCACCTCTGCGAAAGTTCACTTCACGACTGGTAACTAATTTACTTTAAAATGCTAAAAAGTTAAAATATTCAAATTCGGTGTAAATACATTTGTGATCTAAAACAACTTTTAAGTAACAACATTTTTTAAAAATAA